GTTGGGGTGAGTCTATAATGGGCTGTCCACATATTAGATGCATTGTAATGGCATAGGCATGTCCCCTCACCCCCATACTGACTTTGTACTGGCCATAATGAATAATCCTGGGCCTAGAGAGTTGGCTAAGTGGTTAAGAGCACTTGCTGCTCTTTCAGACCATCTGGGTTCACTTCCCAGCTCCCACATGGCAGCTCACAACTATCTGTAACTCCAGCTCCGGCAGATCTGATCCCCTTGCATCTGCACTCATGTGCACTGCTGGGACACACACACACACACACACACACACACACACACACACACATAATTAGGAAAGTAAACAGATGCTGGAGAGATGGCCCAGTGGCTGAGCGCTTGCTACGCTGTCAGAGGACTAGAGTTTGGTTCCCACCACCCACATCAGGGAGCTGGCAACCACTCCAGGGGCTGTGACCTCCTCTTCTGGCCTCCAAGAACACATATGGCAAACACTCACACAGACAAATAAACACAAGCAAAAATAAGTACAGTTTTTAAAGGAAGCAAATAGCTGGGCATAATGGCACACACACCTTTATTCCTAGCACTTGGGAGGCGGAGGCAGGTGGATCTTTGAGTTCAAGGCCAGCTTGGTCTACAAACGGAGTTCCAGAACAGCCAGGGCTACACAGAGAAACCCTGTCTCAAAACAAACCGGGGCTGGAGAGATGGCTCAGAGGTTAAGAGCACTGACTGCTCTTCAGAGGTCCTGAGTTTAATTCCCAGCAACCACATGGTGGCTCACAACCATCTGTTATGAGATCTGGTGCCCTCTTCTGGTGTGCAGATATACATGGAAGCAGAATGTTGTATACATAATAAATAAATAAATAAATAAATAAATAAATAAATAAATAAAATCTTTAATAAATAAATAAAACAAAACAAAATAAAAAAGCAAGAACAAGCAGCCGTCACTGATTACTGTGCCTGTGGATCAAGCTACAGCAATCAAAAGCAATCCTGACAGCCGGTACTACTGTCGCTATTCTAGATCAGGAAGTCGAGTGCCATAGAAGGGACACTCTAAGTCCTCTGTCCCACATCCTAAAACTCAGAGATGGCCCAGGAGGTAGGATTCAAACCCGAGCCTCCAATGTTGCACTCCAGTCAGGACAGGGCAACCGTTTCACTGAGCTCCAAGTTCTCACAGTCTTTCTCAGCACACAGCAGGGTTCAGTGGAGCTTGAAGCCAAGAGGAAAGAGCCACCATACAGGCCTCCTGCCTCTATCTGCAAGGTCAGCAAATCAAGAGCTTCCCCAAATCAAGCCTCCAGCCCTGGCTTGTGCTCTTCCTTCTCCTGCCTGCTTAGGCTATGGGAAGGGTCCCTGTTGGAGAATTAAAGGGAAGCAGTGGGGTGGTTTGATTGACAGCCTCTGAGGACGATGAAAGGCGGGCAATGTTGAAGTGTCCAGAAAGATAGAAGTTGGTGGTACAATAAGCTGACCTCTGCTCCCTTCTGCTAAGCATCTGAGGGCTTTTGGATCAGGGGTGGGATGGGGAGAAAGAGGGGGGAAGAATTGGGCAGAGGCCTTGGGGCATGGTTCTGACTGAAGAGAGTGGGGGCTCTTCAGAGAGTGGGTGAAGCCTGGTGTGCTTACCCCTCCTCATCTCTCTCTCCTCACCCAGGACGGCTACATTGACTTCATGGAGTATGTGGCCGCACTCAGCCTGGTCCTCAAGGGCAAGGTGGAACACAAGTTACGCTGGTATTTCAAGCTCTATGACGTGGATGGCAACGGGTGCATAGACAGGGACGAGCTGCTCACCATCATCCGGGTAACTCCAGGTGCAGAGTGGTACGTGGCGGGTGGCCAAGGATGGATGCCCTGGGCTGAGAGCCCCAGGATAGAATTGCAGCCCAGAATTGGGATGGGAGTTGGGACAGCTTTCTTACCAAATGCATGATCTGGGCCTCAGTTTCCCCATTGGTGCTAAGGCACTGCTAAAGCTCCACTCTTTTCGTGTGTGGTGTGTGTGTGTGTGTATGTGTGTGTGTGTGTGTGTGTGTGTCTCTCTCTGTGTGTGTGTGTCTGTGTGTGGTGGTGTGTGTGTGTTTGTGTGTAGGGGGTATATATGTGTGTGTGAGGCCAGAGGAGCTGTCAAGTGTCTTTCTCGGTCTTTCTGTCTTATGGAGCTAGGTTGGTGACCAGCAATCTCTAGCAGGCCTCTTACCCCACCCCCACCCTCACCCCCAGCACTGGGGTTACAGGAGCAGGACCACACCTGGCTTTTTACCTGGGCAGCGAGCATATTTTTATTATCATCTCAGCATTTGTTTTTTGGGCCAAGTCTCACTATGTAGACCAGGCAGGTCTGCAACTCACAGAGATCTGCCTCTCTATGTCTCTGCCTCCAGTACAGAAATTAAAGGCATGTGCCACCATGACGTCCCCTGCTCGGGTCTTTAATGACAAGGTCTTATACTGCAGTGTAGATGGCTCATAACTACTTGGCTGTATTGACCTAGAATTGGAGGCAATCCTACCTCAGTGTCCCAAGCGCCAGAGGTCCTATAGTGCCATGATCTCCACTCTGAACGGCTCCTGACAAGTTCTCTCTGCTCCCACTTCCGCCACTGAGACGATGGAGCCCCTCACTTCTGTCTGTTTGTCCTCCCAGGCCATCCGAACCATTAATCCCTGGAGCGACTCATCCATGAGCGCAGAGGAATTCACAGATACTGTGTTTGCCAAGATCGACATCAACGGTGACGGTGAGGGCGCCCGGGGAATGGCAAGAGAGGGGCAAGTGAGGAGAAGGAGGGGGGTCTTCTGCTGGTCACCTCCTCTACCCACCTCTGCTCTGGCTCAGGACTGGATTTTGGGGATCCCTGCACCAGATCTTGGGTTCCGGATCCCTTTATCATTGCCCCCAGAGCTGGCTCTGTCCCCACACTTTGCAAAAATCCAGCTCTGAGCCCTGGACTACTGAGACCTCAACCTGCGAATCCCTTTCTCTCCATCCCAGGGGAACTGTCTCTGGAGGAGTTCATGGAAGGCGTCCAGAAGGACCACATGCTCCTGGACACCCTGACCCGGAGCCTAGACTTGACCCGCATTGTGCGCAGACTCCAGAACGGTGAGCAGGAGGAGGCAGCTGGCGACCCCGCAGCGGAGGCTGCAGGCTGAGTCTCACTCTGTGGCTTCTGCATGCTGAGGGGTGGCCCCCTGTGGTGCCTGATGTGGTTGTTTTGTTCTTGTCCTAACATTACATAGAATCTCCTAAACTCGGAGGCTCGGCTTGTTTCTTTGGGTGCACAGTGCCAGCGGAGGGGCAGTAGCGTGGAGTTGAGAGCCCAGCACAGAGGATGGCCCCTGGTCCCTCCTTCCTGCTTGACGCTTCCTGCTGGTATCTTCTGAGGCCAATCTCTTGTCCCTCACATCTTCTTGCCCAGCTTCCCTGCTGTATGTTCCAGGACGAGTCCTTTTGGATGTGGAAGTTCTGAGAGAGAGAGCTCCTGGGACTCTGATGGGCTCCTGGCATCTGCCGACCGGGTTTCAGGCAGTCACACCCTGCCCTGACCCTGCAGCCTGCTTGTGTGGCTTCAAGTGATGAACAAACATTTATTGAGCATCTACTGTCTGTCAGTGTTAGATGAGGCCTGTCTCATCCACCTCCATGATTTGGGGGAACAAACCTCTTTTCCTATCTGGGGTACTATTCATACTTTTCATGGACCATTTTCACTGAAGTGATTTCTAAAGGAAACTTTAGAGCAACATCCTAGGAAATACAAAACCCCAAGGGGCTGAGAGATGGCTCAGCAGTGACAGCTGGTTGCTCTAGCAGAGGGTCCAGCACTCACATGGCAGCTTGCAAACATCTGTAACTCCAGGTCCAGGGGATTGGGCACCCTCTTCTGGCCTCTGTGGACAACACACACACACACACACACACACACACACACACACACACACACACACACACACACTACACAGACATATGTAGGCGAAGCACCCATGCACATAAACTAAAAATAAGAGTAAAAAAAAAAAACAAAACACACTTCAAGTTCAAGCTGGGTACAGTGGTACACACCTGTGATACCAGCATGCAAGGTGCTGAGTAGGAGGATTGCCATGGGTCTTAAGCTAACATGGGCTTCCGAAAATGTCTCAATTGCTCCACAAAATGAAAACAAATAACCCCTCCCCAGGAACAAAAACCTGGGCATATTGACTCACACTTGTAATCTCCAGCCTGAGGCAGGAGTTCTGGCTAGCCTGGGCGATAAAGTGAGCTACGGCTAGCCTGAGCTACAGCTCAAGGTCTTCCTCAAACCAGCAAAGAAACTTCTCCTCAAGGTCAATAAGTTAGTTTACTTTATTTTAACATAAAACCATATCTGCTCAAGGTAAAGCCAATAATCCATCAGGCCCCACAGGGAATTACTGTCTAAAAGTGGCACTGGTCCCACTTCCTGTCCTCTGAGGTGCCTTCCCCAGCGGCGGCTGCACAGATGGCAAGGGCAGAGGAAGGCAGGAGGATTAACCAGGGAGCCCCCCCCCTTCAGAAATCTAGCTCCTATATTGCTGTTACATGGTAATCTAGAAACTATGTAATCTAGAAACTATCTCCTCAGCCTGTAGGAGGTTAGGGGCCCAACAGCAGTCGGAGACAAAGTCTGGTTTGGAACCCCATTGACAGGCACCTGGTCCTCCCCAGAGATGAAGAGAAGGTGTCTCCATCCTTAACGAGGCATGTGGGCTATGACTGGAAATAGTGACAGGCTGACCCTGGAGTGGGGTGAAGAGGGGGAACTGGTGAGAAGAGGGAACTGGAGAGCAGCACAGAGCAGAGCTGAACACTCCCCTACTCCCCCCTCCTTCCCTCCCCCTCCTTTAAGCTCAGCAGGCCTCCAAGAGCAGGAAGATCTCAGTGGTAACTGTCTGCTGCCTTTCCCTTTTGTCAACCCTGGTGAGGACACCCTGGAGGCTCAGAGGGAAGTGTGGGCTCCTACAGGGTCCCCAGGTCCTCAGAACATGGCACTTCTCCGCCTTTGCTGAGTGATCCAGCCGCCAGGGTTAACATCCATCTGTAACATCTTCATCACCCACTTGTCACGACGGGCACCTTCAACAAACTCCGTCAGAGACAGCTGGCCTGAACAAGCATGGGAGAGACGGTCACAAGGGAGGAACTATCCTAGCCTGGGCCCTCACCGAGACTACAAACCAGATTGAAGCCTGATTCTAAACCTGTGGGTTGTCAATTCTGAATCCATAGGAGTGTCTTGCAACTCACAAGTTATGTGTGTGTTCATGTGCTTTTGTGTGTGTGAGTGCGTGTCTGTCTGTGTGTGTGCTCAAGCATGTATATGAAAGCCAAAGGACAATTTCTAGTGTCTAGTGTCATTCCTCAGGCACCAACTACTTTACTTTTCTTTCTTTCTTTCTTTTCTTTCTTTTTCTTTTGAGGCAGGGTATCACTGTGCAGCCCTGGCTGACCTGGAATTCACTATGGAGACCATCTTGGCCTTGAATTCACAGAGCTCCTCCTGCCTCTGCCTCCCACACCTTTAGTTATTATCATGCATGTACATGCTCACAGGGGGTGAGGGGTGGGGGTGGGGTGGG